GCATTCTTTTCTCCAGCTGCATAGTGTTCCAGAATATGGATTCACCATCGTTTATTTAGCTAGTCTTCAGTTTGGGTTTTCCCCAATATTTTGCTATTACAAACCATGCTGCTTATGTACGTATGTCATGTAATATGTACGCATATTGCATATATGTGTATGTGTAGTTTGCACATCTGAGAATAAACCTGAATAAATACTGAGGAGAATTGCTAGGTCAAAGGGTCCTAATCTGCCATCCACTGAGGCTACACTATCTTACTTTCAGTTTAACAATGTATGACCTGTCTGCTCCTCCAAGAAGGCATTACCCACTTTCTGATCTTTCCTAAGCTGGAAGACAAAAACGGTATTTAATTTTAGCTCCAACTTGTTTTTCTTTTATTATGCATTTGGTAGGGCATCTCTTCAAAGAGCCGTTTGTTTTTCTTTTTGTGTGAGCTGTTCGTTGCATCTTTCCACATTCTATATTTGGGTTGGTCCCTCTTACTCATTTGTAGGAATTTGTCATATATTTGTTTGTGATTTGTGTCGCACATATTTCCCCATATTAAAACGACAAAGTCCAACTTCTCTTATGAGTGCTTTTTGCTATACCATTTGGTTATTTCCCATTTTCATTTCTCATTTTACATATTTGTGTCTTCCTCCACCCCCACTTTAAATGATTCGATTAAATAGCTTATATGTTTTATGTTTTTTTTAAAGTTTGCTCATTGAAGTTATGCATTTAAATTTAGTTAATATGTAAAAATGTTAATTATTTATTTTGGTGAAATAATCTGAATAAAGGTCAATGATGACAATTAAAAAAAAACTGACTATATTGTAGACAAAAAAAGAATAACGTGCAGTGCATCCAAATGCTAACAGTGTTTATATCTGATTAATGAGATAGAAGGTGACTTGGTGGTTTTATACGTGTTTTAGATTTCTTTTAACTTTAAACAGTGATTTAATGTTTTTAATTAATCGACTTGAATTTTAAGATTAGTTTTAGATTTATAGAAAAACATACAGTACAGAGAGTTCCCACATACACCCAGTTTCTCCTGTTATTAACATCTTGCACTGGTATGGTACATTTATCACAACTAGTGAATCAATGTCGATACAAGGTTATTAACTAAAGGCCATACTTTATTCAGATTTCCTTACTTCTCACCTAATATCCTTTGTCTAGTCCAGGATCCCATCCAGGATAATGCTACATTTCGTTGTCGTGTCTCCGTAGGCTCCTCTTGGTTGTGACAGTTTCTCATATTTTCCTTGTCTTTGATGACCTTAACAATTTTGAGCAGTACTGGTCAGGTATTTTGTTAGATACTCCTCAGTTGGAATCTGTTCTCTGTTTCTCTTAGGATTAGACTGGGATTATGGGCTTGGGGGAGGAAGATCATAGAGGTAGAGTGTTATTTCATTACCTCATAACAAGGATAGATACTACCAACATAATAGATTAATACAATAAATGAAACAAATAATATATATTTTATATATAATATAGCATCATGTATGACATAAATGGCACATAAAATGATTGAATTAAATGGTTTATATGTTTTATTTTGTTTTCTTGGTTGTTTTATTTCCCCAAAGAACCAGCTCTCGGATTTTTTGATTAGTTCTTTTATTTTTCTATTTTATTATGCTTGATTTATATATTTTCATTCCTTCTTATTTACTAATATAAGTACACCAGGGATGATTTCCTCTGAGCACAACTTAGTGGAATTCCAAGGTTCTAATACATGGAATTTTTTTTGTTATTTGTATTTTCTAGTTGTTCTACAATTTCTACATAGGTCTCTCTTTTGATCTGAGTTGTTTAAAAGAGAGTTTTTAAAAATGTCCAAGTGATGGGATTTTTGTGATCCATAATTTTGTGATTAATTTCTAGTTTTTTTTCTCTGTTACCAGATTCTGTAATATTGCTGCTTTTTTTGGTGAGGTTTTATTTGTGGCCTAATATATGGAAAACGTATACATCAATTAAATCTGACTTGTTAATTATGCAGTTTTCATTTTTCTGTCTTTACTTAATTTGGTCCATTGATCTGTCATGAGCTACAAGAGGTAAAGTAAAATCACCTTCCTGTACTGTAGATCTGTCTGACCTTCCTTGTATTTCCTACAGCTTTTGCTTTGAATTTTGGTGCTGTTATTTGATGTGCTCGATCTTCAGTTGTGGATTATATTCTTTATTGTTATAAAGTGTTCTTTGTCTCACTTAAGATTGTTTGCCCTAAATTCAACTTTACTTGCCTAATACCAAGGGTACAGTGCTTCCTTGGTTTGAGGTAGCACTTACTTGGTATATATTTGCCTTTCCTATTTTTTCAACATTGTTGAATTACTTTGCTTTGGGGATGTCTCAAATGTAGCATACGGGGGGGGGGGGGTTTGTTCCCCAGCCTTAGAATCTTTCCTTTTTAGTTTACTATGGCCATTCATTGACATAGCTAGTATTTTGGTCTTAGTTTTACTGTCACATATTAAGTCTTTGTGGTTTTGCTTCTATGGCTTCTTAAAGCAAAATTGTTCCGTGTGTGGTCTGTTTTATTTTGTGTTGTGTTCTCTCTGACAATTTGGAAGGTTTGTACTTTATTTTGAGTTCTTCTGGAGGTTGCCTTTGTAACTTCACATAGTAAAGTGTATTTAATCTTTTTTTTTTTCAAGCTTACTAGTTGTCTCCCTTCTGACGTAAGTGATCACAAAATTAATTTACAAATTGGGTCACAATTTTTATCTGTTTTGTGACAGCTTTTTTTCTGGTGAGTTTTCTTGCTTTGCCAGATTTTTTTTCCCATTCCTTTCCTTCTTTATTTCTTGTCCAGCATCTTTGACTATATCATGTGCTGGTTCTGCTTTGGAAGAGGCGAGCCTTCCCGGATCAGCATTTTGCAGGGGATGCGTGTAGAGGAGGTGCCAGGAAGTATGGAGCCAGGAAGTAGGAGAGCAGAATAGCTCCCTGATTCACGGTTACTTTGTTCACAGGACTGTGGCAGTGATTTCTTGTAGCTCCCACCTCGTCAGTCAGCAGAGATCTGCAGCTACAGGCTTCCCCCAGTTCAGCCCTCCTCCCACGCTGCCTCACCTGCATACTGCTTCCTGTGAAGATGGCGGACCTGCAGTTTTCTCTGTTAGCCCTGCTCTCCCCTGTCTTCACAGAGTCAGAGGCAGCAGCTCCCAGTGCTAGACCTGTTCTCTTTGTTCCTGATTAGGAACCGTTGCTGTTGCTTTTTCCTTCAGGGAATGCCAGTTACTGCCTGGCTTTGCTATCTCTGTCTGAGCTTTGCAGCCACAGGTGTCTTCTATAGGTGTTTTCTCACACCTCGCTTGATGTTCACTGCTTTTGGCAGTCGTCTGCCATTTTTTTTGGCAGCCTTTCCTTGTAAGTTGTGGTTTGGATTACGAATGTGTTACAGTTTTGCTGAAGATAGGATTTGCATTCCTGTTTCTCTTTTCTCGTTTATTTTGGGTGATTTTGGATAGGGAAAGGAGTAACTATTCTGGTATCTTAGAACTGTCTAGTGTTGCAAATTTTTGTGTGTTCTGGTATTCCCTTAGATTAAACATTATCCAGAGCCCTCTGGATAGGGTCGGCATGAGCTGAACCTGGGGTCTGACAATAGAAAGAAAAGAAAAGGGGAGTTGAGAATAAAATCAGAGGGTTAAAAAAAGCAATGCACAATATAGCTGCCTGCACTGCATGGCACTTTGGCTGGGAGTTAGGGTGGGAGGTCATGGCCAGGCAGAGAAAGGCATGAAAAACACCTGTCTCCTGGTCTGTCTCAGGGGAAGCTATTCAGAGCAGGGAGGGGAGGCGACATGCCTCTGCTCTGGATGGGCTGCAGGCCTCAGCTCTCCATCTCTCCCCACACCCGGGGCCCATCCAAACAGCCCAAGCACCCTGAGTTCTGGCTGGCCTTTTAGTGATAGTGGCCAAGTTCTCCTCCCTGGAAACCAGGATCTTGTCTCAGAGGAGGTCGTCCAGGGTCAGTGCTATTAATGGTGTTTATATGCCCAAAGAAAGACCTTGCCCATCCAAAGGGAAGGGGGTACATGCAGGATGCCCAGAAGATAGAACCAAAGAGGAAAGCCTGCCCGCAGAGTCTCAGGCTTGGCTCTTGATACTATCTCTCAGATTCCTACACCACTGGGAGGGAGCATTTTATCCCCATTTTACAGATGAGGAAACTGGAATCTTAGAGAGGCTAAGAGACTTTCCTATGGACGCAAAGCTAAGCGATGGAGAGAGGGATTGGGACCTAGTTCTCTCTGACTCCAGAGCCTGGACACCAACTCCCTTATCACCTACCTGCAGTTCACCTTCCCATGAAGACCCCACCCCATCCTCAGATGGTTGCCTTGAGTGGCCTTCGTGGATCCTTGCTCTGTGTCTGGCTTCTCAAGCTTGGATGCACTTTAGATGCTATTTAAGCTCCCCAGGGCATCCAGGGATGGGAAACACCCTATATGTCTTCAGCCCCGTGTCAAGGGCACAATGTCCCCCCAGCCTTGGCAAAGGGCTTGTGCCTTTCTTGGGACCAAATGCACTGGGGTTCTCCAGGTTCTGTGATCTTGAGCAAATCACCATTTCTCTGGGCTCAGTCCTTATTGCTAAAATAAAATTGCCTGTGATTGCTCTAAGAGCCGAACACAGACTCTGAAGCCAGATGGCCTCAGTGTAAATCTTGGCTCAGCTCCTTATTAACTGTGGGACTTTGGTTAATTACCTATCTCCTCTCTGTTCTTTATTTTCCTCATCTATAAAATGGGATTAATAATGAATGTCTTATAGTGAGGTCTCGTGAGGATTAAATGAGCTAATAAATGTAAACTGTTTAGAACAGTGCCTGGCATAAGGCAAGTACTGGATATGTGCTAGATATCATTCTATTCATTAATTATTATTATTAATGAATGCCAAGGGCCCAGCCAAGGCTAAGTGCTTGTCGAGCCTGCTGTTATAACCCGTGTCCTTTGCTTCCTTCCAGGAGCTTGGGCCCCTGCTCCAGCCCCGTCGAGGCTGTGGACGTGTACGGTCTGGAAGCCTGGTTTCCAGCCCCGTGGCCCATCCCTGGCTGCGGGGAGTGGAAGCTCCCACGAGGTAGCGGTGGCCCGCATTGGCCCCGTCCCGGCAGTGAGCCATGGGCCAGAAGCTCTCGGGGAGCCTCAAGCCGGTGGAGGTGCGAGAGCCGGCGCTGCGGCCGGCCAAGCGCGAGCTGCGGGGAGCCGAGCCCGGGCGGCCGGCGCGGCTGGACCAGCTGCTGGACATGCCGGCGGCGGGGCTGGCGGTGCAGCTGCGGCACGCGTGGAACCCCGAGGACCGCTCGCTCAACGTCTTCGTCAAGGATGACGACCGGCTCACCTTCCACCGGCACCCGGTGGCGCAGAGCACCGACGGCATCCGCGGCAAGGTGGGCCACGCCCGCGGCCTGCACGCCTGGCAGATCCACTGGCCGGCGCGGCAGCGGGGCACGCACGCCGTGGTGGGCGTGGCCACGGCGCGCGCCCCGCTGCACTCGGTGGGCTACACGGCGCTGGTGGGCAGCGATGCTGAGTCGTGGGGCTGGGACCTGGGCCGCAGCCGCCTCTACCACGACGGCAAGAACCGGCCCGGAGTGGCCTACCCGGCCTTCCTGGGGCCCGAGGAGGCCTTCGCGCTGCCTGACTCGCTGCTCGTGGTGCTGGACATGGACGAGGGCACGCTCAGCTTCGTCGTGGATGGCCAGTACCTGGGCGTGGCCTTCCGCGGCCTCAAGGGCAAGAAGCTGTACCCGGTGGTGAGTGCCGTGTGGGGCCACTGCGAAGTCACCATGCGCTACATCAATGGCCTTGACCGTAAGTGCAGCTTACTGAGGGAGGGGGCTGTGGGCAGGGGTGGGTCCAGAGGCTGCCTGTCCTTGGCAGAGCTCGGGGGGGAGGTGTGGGGAAGCAGGTGAGAAGGCCCCATCCTCCATCAGCAGTTGGGATAATCCTGTGGGATGGAGTCGTGGTTAGGACATGGACTCTAAGGCCAGGTTCCTGTGTTTGGCTCTTGACTCTCCTTTGCTGGCTTAGCGATCTTGGGCTGTACCTCAGTTTTCTTGTCTGCAAAAGCAGCACCATGATGGTAATCTAGCTCAGGGTTGTTGTGAGAAATCCAATATATTATTATCTATGTGAGATGCTTAGGGCAGTGCTTAGAACTGGCACCTAATACGTGATTTGGGTATTGATGCTAATTGTGAACCTTTCAGTCTGTGCAAGGGTTGTGCAAAATGATGTCTCCTGTGTGCTGGGGCTTCAAGTTCACCGCAGGAGGAGACTGACAAGTAAGAAGACACAGTCCCTACACTTGAATCCCACGCACTTGAGTTACTGATAAATAATAAGCAATGATGTTAATAACTAGCATTTATTGAACACCTACTGTATGCAGGGGCTGAACACTCAAATTTAGGCGTTCCTGGTGAGCTGTCTATTGAAGGGGGCATCTAGCTAATTATTGCCTCATGGAAATGAGAGCCACAAGTTGTGGAATCTGATTTCTTTCAGGAGGTCCCAGAAATCTAGATTTTTGTATGAACTATTCCAATTTTTAAAGTTGGCAGCTGTTAAAGACACTGTGTGGGCAAACAGAACACCCCTGCAAGTTGCAGTTAAGGCCACAGGCTGCTGGGTTTGACTCCTGACAACTATAAGTCCTCTTCTCATTTAATATACATAATCGGCCTGTGAGATAGCTTAAAAATCATAGTCACAAAAATGGTTATTGGTTTTAGGAGGGAGTCACTCAGGGAGGCAGGGTGGCCTGACAGAGGTGCATGTGGTCACCTGTCCTATGTTGAATCCCAGCTGAGCAGGGCCTGGAGTTGGGCACTTATGGCCTTGCACACACGTCATCCAGACTTCCTGCCATGCCCCTGATGAAGCTCCCAGAGGTGGCGCTTACAGCCAGAATTCCAGCTTATTCATTTTAAATAAGAGATATAGTTGCCCCCCTTCACAGAAGAGACACCTGAAGAGCAGAGCTACAAAGAACCAGATCCCAGGCCTTCCCAGGTCTTTCAGCCACCAAAGCCCACTCTTCCCATGCTCAGCCCTTTAGCCGAGGGACTGAGAATGACACTCCAGAAAAGAGGTCAGGAACAAGATTTTACTCAAGTAAAATTGACCTTGACTTGATCTAGGATGGGTTGACCATTTTCAAGGGTGACAGGCCCACCAAAGAGTGCCTGGTATGCTCTGCTCTGTGGTATAAATGGTGGCATTCTTGCTCATATTTGATTTCCATGGTTGTTGGACTAAGATGGCAAAACGTTGTTCTGTTTTCTCTGATTAACTAGTTAAATAAAGAGAAAATGAGTGTGTCCTGAGACAGGCTAGTTTGGTCACTCCAGTGCCTTGTGGAGAATGTTGGGGACCCTCGTAGACATGGTGAACAGGCAAACCCAGTGCTGAGAAATCCAACAGCAACAATAAACACTCTTTTAAAATGGAATTGGAAAATCTACTTGCCAGAATTGATCACTTCAGTGATCTGGGGTCTAATGTGCCTCATTTCCCACTGCATCCCCAATGCTTAGTGGGTTTTTTTGTCTTTGGTGAATCACTCTAACACCTTAGGACTCGTTTTACTCACCTGTAAAATGGGGCAGTGTTGGGTCCCTTTCATCGCTGTGAGATCTTGTGTGGTGGCACCAATAATATGGTAGCTGGGATAAAGGCTGACAGTGATGCCCAGTGGAACTACCTGAGCCAATAGTTAGGTCCCCAAGGTGGGCTTACTCTTGAGTATTGATTCACACTTGGGTATTATCTGTTGCTTGGTTTCTGGGTACAAGGCTAAGGTGCTAACAAGGTTGCAGCCAGTGGCTCCCCTATGCATGTTGGGATCAAGAGCAGTCAAGCCATGGTGTTCTGCTCGGTGTATTGCTGGGAAAGGACAGTCGTGTTGAGAGAACTTTGAGCTCTTGGGCCCTTCAGGTGGCTGGAGAAGCTTGATGAGACAAACTTGGAACATTCCATCCTCCCCTAGTTGGCAGTGATCTTTTCAGTTTGGCCAAAGATAGAATGCCCATCCAGGAGGCAAGGGAGGGCCAGGATGTCATGTGATGCAAGCCTGTGTCATCTCCCATTGGTGACTGGATCAGCTTGAGTGCTGTGGTGCTGGCCCCTTCTCCAGACAGGAGTGGCGTTCTCTATCTTGGACAGGGTGTGACTGCAGAAAGGGCTTTTCTGGGCTTTGAAAGGCCCATGTCAGCAGAACAAGTTCCGACTACAGAGTGGGCCAAAAGACAGGCTGCAGTGGAGTCTGACCTGAGCTGGTTAGGAAGGGACTGGGTGATGCCTGATGCCTGTAGCTGGTGATCTGGGCTGAAGTCTAGTGGATCCTGGGACACCAGGAAGAGTTTGGCCCTAGGGAGTCCCTGGGCAGGGAGAGTGACCCAAGGTGGAGTTCTGTGCACGAGAAGAATGCTGAGCCAATATTGATTGTGGACATGAAGGCAGGTTCCCACATTCATCCCCCATCCCTAGGGACATAGGGAACCAAGATTACATACAGACAGACCCTAGAGCAGAAAGGTGGGGCCACTCTCTGGGGTTGCTTCCCCGCGAGATCCTGGGGGAGAGAACAGACAGAGTCTGTACTCACCAGGAGGCCACGGACAATGATTACCTCCTCTCTCTGGATCTCAGTGTTCTCCTCTGTAAAACGGGCATGATAAAGCTCGCCAGCACAGAGCAGACCCACGCACAGTAACTGGTGCTCACTGCTTTGATTAACTTGGAGAGCTCGGCCAGGTCCTGGGATTCACCCATGGATCAAAACAAGAGTGGCCTGAAGCTTCTCCTCAAATATGAAGGAAAGAAGTTAATGGATAGCACTTTCTCAGTATTTGAAATTTCCGACTATAAAAGCAAGACTTAGAAAGGGCTAGCTGCATTTAACTCTGAAGCATGTTTTTGTGAAGGAAAAGAGCTTCTGGAAGTGCATTTTCCTACTATAATTTCGTTCTTCAGCTACACCATAGAGTGAGACAGCATAACCTCTCTGGGGCTTTGCTGTAAAGAGCTGCAGGCCACCCAGGGGCTCTGCCATCTGAGTGAGCTAAGAAGCTCAGAACCTAGGCCGGGCAAACAGGCAGGCTGGCTCCAGATGGCGGGGTCCAGGGCCCAAATCATAACAACAGTAACACCACCACCAATAAGTAACACTAACCTTGTGCTTTGTCTGTGCTGGATTCAATTCTGAGCACTTCACAAATTTTAGTTCATTTAATCCTTGTAAAAACTCTTTGACTAACACCTATGTTATCTTCATTTTCCAATGAAGAAATTGAAGCACAGAGAGCTCATGAGTAAGTTGCTCAAGGTCACACAGCTAGTAACTGGAGGAACAGGGATCCAAACTGAGGCAGACTGGCCCAGCGGGCCCCCTGTGGAGATGTTTACTGCCGAGGTAGAAAGAGAAGGAACAGGAGAGGCTGCTCCAGCCGGCTGGGTGGCCACTCAGCGAAGGACTGGACCCTCGACTTCGACGGTGAGTTTGAGGGAAGCCGAGATGCTATCCCTCCCACCGGCTTCACCTCCAGCCCTCAGAGCTGTTGGCTAAGCACAGAACTCCGTGGGGTGTTCTGAAAAGCTAGTTGCATAAAGACAGTCCCAGCGGTGGCCGTGAATCAGGCATGCTTTGTTCACTAACGAGAGAATGTCACTGAAAATGTCCCAACTGCTGGGAGGGTCGCCCCTGGAGTGGGCCAGGGCTTTGGAATCTGCTCTGGGCTGGTTTCCGGAATTACTCCCCAGTCCCCAGCTCCTCCTTCCACATGCGGGCGTCCAGGAGGGCTGACAGAATGGCTTTGTCTCCTGTCTTGGAGTTCTTGGGTGGTCAGTAGTACAAGAGTGACACAGGAAGGGGAGCAGCCTTGATTTGGGGGTCATAATAGGTGGGTTTTTTGGGGGGGTGGTACCACCCATGTTCTATGCCCTGGGCCAAGTGTTTTACTCATTTTGTATTTTTTAGTCCACACAGTAAACCTCGAGGCAATGTTATCAATATTATCCCCATCTCACAGATGAGGAAACAGTCTTGGAGAGGTAAAGCAGCTGCACAGCTAGCCGCTGGCAGAGCTGTGCTTAAACCCAGGTCATGACCACGCCTGTGCCCTGCCTCCTGCTGCCTGGGTCAGCCCTGCCTCCTTTCTGCCCACTGATTCCAAGGAGCAGGTGTTGGAGCCCAGGGTTGACTTTCTGAGGGGTGAGGAGGGGGAACCCTAGGATCTCGGGCTTACCAGTCAGGGAGGGCTTGTCCACCTGATTCAAGCCAGGGAAACTAGTTCCAGACCTCATTCCTAGATGGTTTAATTGATCTGCCAACGAGTATTTATTGGCGCAACAGCTCAGGAGAGGAGGCTGGCGGCCAGCCAAGGCTTCTGGTATTGATGAAGGCCAGAGAGAGTTTTCTACCAGGATGACTGCAAGGACATCGTCCCCTTGCAGAGCTGTGCACACCGGACTCACGACCTTCCTGCTCAGCTCCCATGTGTCCCCCGGGTGGCACGACCTCCCAGTCTCCCTGACACCTGGCCTTGGCTCCTCTTCCCCGCTGACCCAGGTCTAGACCTGGTCTCCCTTTCGCCCCCTACCCTGTCATTCTGCGCTGACTCCAGCTTACCCCAGCCCTCAGCCCAGGGCTCTGTCCCCTGCACCGCACAACTCAGTGCTCAATCCTCCCCGCATTTGCCCCAGTCGCTCACTTTCCCCATGTGTATGCCTTCCTTCCCCAAGTGGATATGAGGTGCCTCAGGGCACTGATGGTCATCCAGGGGGCATGTATGTGTGGGGAAGTGGGCAGA